GCACTCCCATCAAAACAAAACTAGAAGAAGCTGAAGAGAAAGAAATAATGAGAAGAAGCAATCAAAACCAAAAAAAAAACTAAAAGATAAGAATAGTAAAGGGGTTATTTGTAAATGTTTGAACGGTGAATTATCAATTCCGTCGTCTTCAAAGAAATTCAAAAGCAAACAAAAGAGACCGCCAACGCCTGAATCATTTGATTTATCAGAATATGATGTGTCGGATATTTGTGACGGAGATGAGCTGGATGATATTGATGATGATGATGTTGGGCTGAGCTTCGTACCGCCACCTTTAAATCAGCCAGGGAAAACTATCCGAAGTTTGTGGTATTTGCGGTGAATTTGACAAACAACGAGAATTATGGTACAGATGTGTTCTTTGCTCAACTTGGAACCATGCCGAATGTACTGGCTCAGATACCCCGAAAAATTATAAATGTGACCTATGCTCAAATTAGGAGTTAGTATAATGTTTTTTTTATGTTCCACAACTTCATTAAATGTTTTTAAAGTTAGTGTTGGTTTTATCTTATACTTAATACTTTTAATGCGCACGATTACCCGCAACAGCGTGGAATGATGCGCTAGAGCACTTTGGTACTTTCAGCCGTATTTTATTTTAAATATTTTTTCCTAAAATTGATTTAATTGCTGAAAGTAGACTAAATAGCACCCCCATTACGGTATTTACATTTAAATTATCTACAATGCTGTCAGTGCTATAACGATTTTCGCTAAAGTGGGCACAATTCCCCCACTCTCCCTTAATCAAATTTTTGCAGCGCACTTACTGCAACTTTGAGATTATTTATGTGGATTTCCATTTATTTCCTATTCACACAAGAAAAGCTCATTGCTGTACTAGTATCTTTCCTATTTTATTATGTTGTATGAGCCCAATATATTTCTTGAATACAAAATAAAGTGAAAAAGGCACAAAATTTTTATATACTTATGACTTCTTCACATACAAAAACATTAAAGAATATACTATAAATGAAAATAAATTTGTTCTTAAAATATATAAAAGAAGAAAGCATCATTTTCTCACCTTATGTTATATGTACCTTGTGAATAAGTACCCCTTCATAGTAAAAGTAAGCTTTTCCTAATGTCGCTCATATTCTAATAATAAAATATAAAATAAAATTACATAAAACAGGAAACATTTTGAAATCACTATTTTATTATTTAGTGAAAAATGTTTAAATCAATTTATTGCAAATTTAAGAATATTTTCGATGATATTTTTATCAAAAATTATTTTTTTATTAGCACGAATATGCATATAATAAAAAAATTCTTATTATTTAAAGAATGTACATATTTATTATTTGAAAATGATGGAGTTTTATAACGCGAAACTTGGAGCTAAGTATAACAATTTAAAATTAATGGGTAATTCTAAAGAAAACAGAAAATATAAGTAATGAAAAATATCCAAAATATGAGACTAATATTTGTCACTTTAAAATAGTGACTACGTAGTTAAAATTGAGAAATACAGCCAGGGATTTAATCTTTAAAATGTTTTCTTCCTACTTGAATATGTAGCAAAGCTGTAAGCTTATTTCTTAAGACATAATCCGTTTTGTTTTTATTGTACCCGAAAAATCGCGTCCATTTTGTATTATAAGTTAAGAGAAAATGAGGGGAATTTAAACAAAAATAGTTCACCCTTGTGAACTTTGTACTTGTATTACTTAATAGTTGTGAGCATTTTTTTTAAAACACCCTACTAACTAAAACCATAATATTCAGACACCTGTGAATGTATGCATCTTTTAAGTAATGATTATTATAGGTTTTTATTATGTTCTAGCCAATTATCTAAGAGTAATCGATGCAGTGGCGTCACCAAGCAAATTTAAATTTTTATTGAAAATAGATAATTTCATACGATTAGTTAGTACATGCAAATCGTTTTTTATTAAATTTTAATGAAACATATGATGCAGAAAATAATTTGCATACTCCTCTCTCATGTAATACTTCCCAAAATTGTTAATTGAACATGTAAAACAGAAGAGGTATTGAAAAACAATTATTAAACGTACTCGTTTTCATAGCAATATATTTGTTGTTAAATAGACCACAAAAAGCTACTTTGCATACACTCGCGCTAATATTTTAAACATGTACTTTTTTGTAATTACTCCGAACAATAATTTAACCAATAAAAACAGATTTTATATAAAGTTTATAAGGTACATTGTCAATATAAATATTTGCATACAGTTCTGTCGTGTAGCACTATTTTAAAAACAATTTAAATGTTGCAAAACTTTTAGCCATGTTTGAACAATTATTTAAAGTATGCTACTTTCTTTTTCGTGAAATGAATGATACAATAGCATGATTTAGCAATTTGCATACAATTTCAATGTGTAGATATGTATATTTTCTTCTTAAAAGTTTTAAACAGAGCATGAACTCTTAACCTTCCGTTACTACCGTGCTGTGAGTCCGCGCCGCTGAAAATTAACCGGTATTTACCGAACTATTCCGAGTAGGCGGCTGTATCACTATGTTAAGAGGTAAACAGAGCAGGGTGATGCGTGTTCGAGTTAGGCTCTTATGCGAACTCTCACTCCGCACGTTAGTGTTGTTAATTTTTTCAAGATAAATATTTTTAATTAATTTCTGTTTTCTGCAGATTATTAAACCTAAATAAGTGATTACAGTGCTTGAAATGAATTACCTAAAAGAACAAGAATATCTTCGCCAACTCTACGACGATATTAAGACTGATATCGAGGCATCTGACGACGACTCGATGATGATGAACAGATTCAAGATCACAACACGGATGATGAGCAAGATATTGAGGACCCAGACAACATCTTGGATCTTCCAGATGAAATAATGGATGGAGTGGTATACAAAAAAGTTGCATATTACATTCGAAAAGATGGCCAAACCAAGTGGAGAAAGCATCCAGGAAATTCTCAGGTACGGACAAGCGCCCTAAATATTATCAAGTTTCTCCCTGGGGTAAAGGGGAATGCAAAAGCATTAAAATCTGAAGCGGAGATCTACAAATGAAATGTTGCAAGTCATTGTTGATAATAAAAATATCTACATTATAATGCACAATGTGAATCCAAACAACCGATCAGCAAGACCCACAGACATTATTGAGCTGAAAGCGCTTATAGGGTTGCTTTATATATGCTCGATGTCAAAAAATATCGGGTAAAAGCCTCTGATTTATTTAGAACATCCATAGAAACATTTTGTTTGACAATGTCTCGAGAACAGTTTAGATTTTTGTTTGACAATAAAAATACTAGAATAGAGAGACAAAAATACGACAAATTAGCACCATCCCGGGAAACCTATGATTCATTTAATTCTAATTAGAGGTAACATATTTATGCCACATTGTTACCCCTGAAGGTGTTAAACCAAATCTTGAGAAAATACAACTGAAATTGAAGGATTCTTAGGACTTTTAGGCTGTTACAGAAAGTTTATTCAAAATTTCTCAAAAATTACTTTACCGCTAACTAAACGTTTAAAGAAAGGAGTTGTAATTAATATTACAGATCCGGACTATGTAGAGTATTTCGAACTTTGCAGAACACTTTTAATTAACGAACCTATCCTGCAATATCCTGATATTTCGCAGCCGTTTATTCTTTTTACGGATGCAAGTAATTTTGCAATTTTAAGCCAAGGAAAAATCGGCAGCGACTTACCAGTTGCTTATGCTAGCCGAACTTTAAATAAATCAGAGATTTTTTACTCCACTATTGAGAAAGAAATGCTCGCTATCGTATGGGCAGTAAAATACTTGGGTGTTATCTTTTTAGAATAAGTTCCGGATATATACTGATGCAAAAGCTCTTCAGTGGTTGTTCTCTTGGAAGTAGCCCAACTCTAAAATTGTTAGGTGGGTCTAAAACTCTCTGAATATGATTATGAAATAGTATCTAAAAGTGGTACTCTTAATAAAGATTGCGACGCCTTATCTAGAATATAATTAAATTTAAATGAAACCGAAAATCAGCCAGGTACTTCAAAGGCTCTACTCGACTATATAGATGGTTTTAATATGGACCTTGAAAATAACGACAATCCGGAATCATTAATTGACGAAGTCGGAAATGTCGAGAATTTAGAAAATTATCAATTAGATGATAATGCTACCGTACATTCTAACCTAGAAAATCCTATAATAAGCATCCCAATTGTAGATTGTCCTGTAAATTTTTGACAAAAATCAAATTATTATTTCCGAAGTAAATTTTTCTTCAGCTCAACCTACAATAATAAAACATTTCAAAAATAAGCAAAGAATACTTGTTCAATTTTCCAAAAATGATTTTGAAAATGAAGGTATTAAATTTCTTAAAGAATTTGTTGTGCCAAAAGTAAAATATCACTTATATTTTGAAGATGTATGAACAATTTAGTGTTGTAGTTCAGACACTTTTTAAAAATTCACTAATGAATATAATAAAATGTTCAAAAAAAATTAATAGATATCGATCCAAGCGATATCAGTGATATTATTCAAAATTATCACGTGGGAAAAACTAATCATAGAGGTATAGATGAGACCGAAACTCGAATAAAAAACCTTTATTATTGGCCTAACCAAATAAAATCAATACAAACCAATATTAACAAATTATTTAGTAGGAAAGATTGAAATTATTTAGTGCTACAACTTGGTGCATTTTCTCTATCATGAGTTACTTACAAAATATTTATAATTATTACTGAAAAATATTAACATAATTTAAATATTTTAACAATAAAAATAATAAAATAACTTAAACATAATTTATATAAAACTCTATAAAATTTAAACCAATTGAAATAGCTCTGATATAATTAATTTGTAATATTAATTCTACTGTTTACCTTAATAATTATATACCATTAATTATCGAATTATTTTACACTATGCGTATGAAGGATAACGCAAAAATATAATTATATAATTAACAGTAATAAATATAACATTGTTTTATTCTGTAAAAACTCACCTGATATTTGTACATCATGATCAAATGGTGGCCACCAAGAAAGTGTTTTAAGTGAAAGTGAATTGTTTTATTCTCATGGTCTAGAAGCGTTATTCATTCGAGTTGCGAGACATACGAAAAAGATTACCCGGTTGTATACATAATATACGGGGGTATTACCAATTGCAATGTTAAAAAATCAACATTTATTTTTATTTTTTTATGTTTAAAACTAAAGTAGGTAACGATTTCGTTTTAGTCATTTATTAATAATTAGGTATTGTTATTATTATCTATAATTTTTGTTCTATACAAAATTTTCCTAAAATGGTCCGCAATCGAGAAATTTGATAAAATGTAAAAAAATAATTTTTTATAAAAATTGTTTAAATAAAAGTTGTTTCTAATATAATTCTCTATAATTTTTGTTCTATACATAATTTCTCTAAAATGTACCGTATCGAGATATTTAAGAAAATGTGTAAAGTTTGAATTTTGAAGAAAACTCAAAAACGGATTAAGAAAAAACATTAAATTTTAAACATAAGTTTTATTTCGGCCTGACGTAAAATGACTAGATTTTGGACAAAGTCGGAACATCTGTGGGGGTACTTTATGAAAGGCCGATTTTATATTTTACGGAATATATCTGTTATTTATGTTTGGAGGAGAAAATTCTTCAAATAAAAGTTACTGCTAATATTATTATCTATAATTTTTGTTCTTTGCAAAATTTTCCTGAAATGGTCCGTATTCGAGAAATTTGACAAAATGTGCAAAATTCTGATTTTTAGGAAAATTGTTGAACTAAAAGTTGTTTGCGATATCGATCTTTATAATTTTGGTTTAAACATGATTTTTCTAAAATGGACCGTAATGGAAAAATTGTAGGAAAAGTGCTATATTAAATTTTTTTAGTATTTTCGTTTTCAATGAATATATATGGAAAAATGTTTCGAGGTAGATATATGTGGAAAATGTATATATTTAGTTTATCCTCTAAACATTTATAGAGGTGTTGCAATAGGTTGTACAAAATAACCAGAAAAAGCCTATAATAACTAGATAGGAAAGTCATGTGTTGGACACATCAGTTTTTTTGTAATTGTATTTTGTTATGTGAAATAAAATGTTTCATTAAAAATAGTAGGTAATTAAAGTTTTTTTTTATTTAAGTTTTTAATTTATTTTGACCTATTTTTACTTTCAGTGGACAAAGAAAAGTTAAGTTAAGTCATTTTACATTGACTTATAAGAAAAGTACCGTAGGAAAAAGGTTGTTATTTATAAATAAAACACGTACCGATACTAACTATTAATTTTAATTAATCCAAATTATAAAAAACACGTATTACAAAAATCAAATTAAGAAAAATCTCACTATGAAAATACACACAAAAGGTCCTAAAAAATACGAGGTAAGCGCAAACTGCTTGTATTCATTGGAATGTCTTTTAGCTAGATGCTTTTTGTTTTTAAATTCCGCTTGAGCTTTAACTATATCTGCAAATGGTTGGTTTAAAAATTGTGGCCCAACCGAACGAGATATTTTGGAACTGGTACATGCATTATCGAAATAGGAACAACATTCAATCTTCAAAGTTAGTCATTCTTTTGCTGGGACCTAAAAAAAAATATTTACATTAAAAAATATATGACCACGACATTTTTATATTATTTTTAATACCTGGTGTACTGAGTAAATCGTCGTGAGATGTAGTAGTAGATGTTGAGGGCACAGATTCATTCAGAACGATCTATGTTTTCATTTGTTGTGGGTGTGTGCCAGAATATTGTCAGAAGTACATTTTCAAATAAACGTTTCCGAATTGATCCAACTGAAAAACTACTGGGCTGAAAATGTTTTTCACGCATCTGGTAGTTTTTGTGTAATTATTCACTGGTTATAGGAATCAAGTCTTCTCGATTACAGGCTCTTAACCACAAGGCAGCTCTAAAAAATACAAAATACATTGTAATAGGTACAACATAAATATAATTTTATTTAAATCATAAAAATGATAAGAAAATATTTGTTTTGATTAAATAGCCAAATAAATAATAAGCAGTTAACATTGCTGGGTTTGAAAAGTACCTAGTTTTACTCATTTTACTAGAAGCCGTTCTTTTAATACATCTGTAGCTTCTCAAAAGGATATGCTCCGTGGTATTTTAATGCAGAGTTTTTAACTATACAGTTCACTGGAAAAAAGCAACTCAAGTTAAAGTCGAAGACGTAGATGTACTTCTGTGAGATGTTGTCTCTTGTGTCACAGTTTATTCTTTTTCATCTTATTTACATATCCGGTTATTAGGAGCAAAAAATATTATAAAAAATGTCAGACGTAAATGAGAACATGTTTTATTTTCTAGTGATAGCAAAAATCGAAAAATACCACAAGTGAAAATGAAGTTTATTTTGCAACAAAAACCATTAGACGAGAAATCAAATTTCATTTAAAAGAAAGGTTTTAGTTTATTTTAATAGAAACGGGAAATCCATAGCCGTTCTTTTATTCCACATAAGCTTGATTATCACCTGATTAAAAATCTACTAACTCTACTCCGCTCCAGGAACACATAGTGTTGGTAAATTTGCATATCTGGATCAAAATTTAAATTATTTGTTAGGTAAAGCTCTCAGTTTTCTTCATTTAAATTGCATAATTTATTTTGTATACCTTTCTGGAACTTTGGGAAATAAAAAAAACTAGTATTCATATTTGTTCGAGGTAGACATGGGCGATAAGATCCCATCAGTTCACTAAAAAATTATTTTGCTTTAATAAAATAAATAAAAATATGTAAATAGTAAATAGCTCAGCACATACCACAAAAAGTTATGAATAAAAACAGTTTACTAAATAATGTTCATAAAATAGACAAAGGAAAACACTAAACACAGATTTACTCAACAATTGTTAAAAAATATACAAAGAAAAACACTAAAACACACTCATTGCGTTCGGTCTGCCAAGTTCTTTTAACACTTTTTACTCCAACCGACCCTTTTAGCGTTCGGTCTAGCCCGATTAGTGACAGTTTACCACACTTAAATGTTATTTAAAAGCACCCTAAAAAACTCCGTTTTTGTCTCGCTCCAGCCCCTGACTATCCGAACTCGCCTTCTGACAAATCAAAACAACACTCGTATGTGCCATGACAGTTTTATCGGTTATAAAATGCCTCACCCTGTATATTAAGTAGTCGTTGTACGTTTTATTGAAGCAATGCTGCAGGATAAAATATCATGTGATGAACCAATTTTATTATATCAGTTGCATATTCTTTACAAAGGTGAATGATTTTGTATGTTAGAACTCGCAGTTGGTAAATAGGAAGAGGAATTTACTCTAGATGTAATTCTAGGTACAAGAAAGTTAATCATACTTAAGACCTCGGAGCAGTCAATAGATGCACTTATGACTGTGAATAAAAATTAATCCTGCAATGTCACGCCTATCTATGTGTGTGTGCAGTGGTTTACTGGCATCGGGTTTATCCCATTTGCCACAGACATGTCACGCCTATCTTTTAGTGATTTTACACAAAATCTGTTTATGTAGAGTTATCTAGGGGTATCCGATAACTGGATAGAGACCATCTTCTTTAAAACTCAAATATTTCAAGAACCTACGCTGTACTCGTTCTAATGTGGTAATGTAAATATCATGTGAGGGACACCATATGACAGAGGCAAATTCTAGTTTAAAGCGCACATAAGAATAATATAATAGTAACAGCGTATCAATATCTTTAAAAGGTCTTGATATTTCTGATGACAAATCCCAACATTTTAAATGCTTCATTGGAAATTCTACTAATATGTGAACTAAAAGAAAGTTTACTATCAAATGTTACTCCTTGAACTCAGAGGCTCTGGGAACAAATATATCAGAAATTGCGTAATCATGATAAATAACATTGTGTTTAAGGGAAAATGAAACGATGCAGCATTTATTAGCATTTAATTGTAGATTGTTCTCAACACACCAGGTATGCACTTGATCAAGTGCTACCTGCAACGTGTTACAGTCATCTGGTGATTTGATAATACTATACAATTTCATGTCATCGGCATACAGAAGGCAATTTACATCCAAATCGTTTACAATGACATTTATAAATAGGTTAGAGAGTAGTGGACCAAACACAGAACCTTGGGGTTCACCTGATGTAGCCACGTAGCTTTTTTAAGTATGACTGTGGCATTCAACATACTGAGATCGGTTTAGTAGATAGGTCTTAAAAAAAGTTATCATCAAATTTTGTAAAAATCCAAATGATTCTTACTTATGTACCAGAGATTGTGATACGATCGAAAGCTTTTGTGAAGTCGGTGTATATTACATCGACCTGTGTGTTATTGTCGAGACCATGAGAAATTTCTTGAGTAATACAAAATAACTTTGTTGTGGTTGACCAACCCATGTAAAAACCATGCTGCTTCTCAGAAGTCTGATTTTTTACATGTTCGAAGATAGGAAAGTATAAAGATATTTCAAATTCTTTAGATATGTTATTGGCCTATTATTTTCTATTAGTTGTTTATCACCCTTTTTAAATATTGGTATTACTTTAGCGTTTCGTAAGCATTCAGGGTAGTAATTATTTTTAAGACACAATACTCAGCAGGAAAGCAAGCTAAACAACTTTATACTGGAATTGAAAATTATTTTTTTCCTTGTGTTACTTTTTACACTCTAATGGGTTTTCGTAAAAAACATATTAATTTCAGACGTTTAGAATTAATACTTAATTTAGAGCAAGTGGGTAATTAGCCTCTGGGTTACTGTAGCGAGTTACATTTTGAACGTAATTAAAAAGGTGCGCTTGAATACTTTTCTACGTTTTAAGAGAATGAATTCTTTACCTTTGTAGTATCTACTTATTTCAGATTTCAGTGACATATTTTGGTGTTTTAATTAAAGCAAGGTGAGATATGCAACGAGCTATTTGTTGTTTTGAATTATGCTTAGAGTATTCATTCTTTCCCAGTACTTTATTATAATGTTTACCTTTTTCTTAGGTACATGAAAAATTATATTGGTATATGTATAATTCTTTTTTTTATTATTGTACAAAACATCCAGATGGTATTTTAATGTTAAAAAATGCAAAAATGCCGACTGCAACATTTCATTTATGAACCTCTTTTTGCAATAATCTTTTTTGGAGCTATGTGTCGTTGATGTTCTTTTATCGTTCCCTCGACATATACAGGGTGGCCAAATGAACTATAATAG